AGCAGGCATCTCATGTCGAAGTGTGGCTTCAGGTGCAGAGCCGCTAATGTTTTATCCACTCTAATTCTAGAGGAACACATCAATGACTTTCTGGCTACTAATATCCCTCTGTAGATTAATACTCCAAATATATGCACATACCTAACCAGATGACTAAACAAGCAATCTCTTTATTTGTTAATTACTGTTGAGGGTTAATGTTATTTATACAATGGAGTCAATATAATCTCTATTGCTCATTAACTGAGATGTTCTGGGCTCAACTCTGTTTTATTTTCCAATTAGGTTCTATTGCTTTTCCTTATTGACTCTTGAGAAAGAGTTGTGGAAACAAACTTAATAGCTCTGAAAATGTCAGAACAATTTATATTACAGGCAAGATCCTGTAATACATAAATGTAAACAAGGATAGTGTTCAGTCATTGGGAAACACCAGATTATTTATTATTATACACCTGCACTTGATCTTACTTTTTTTTTTTTGTAAAGAGTGACTTAGACTTTGTAGGTCTGATGAATGCTTCTTTCTAATATTAATTTTGCTGCCTGGGTGCCTCAAAGGTATTCCAAGGCTTTGACAAAACTTATTCATGTGAGATAAGAGGGCAAGAAAGCCCTCCAAAGGGTGTGATGGTACGCTTCCAGGCACCCTCACAGCCTGGAGCTGCCTGGGAAGAAGATCTGCTCCAGGAATATCCTTGAACTTCTGCCTTCACCACTCTGGTCAGCTCTGCAATGACTTCCAGAGATGGTGATCCAGATGCCAACCTAAATACCCCTCAACCAAAGACTGGATGAGGAAAATGTAGTACATTTACACAATGGAGTACTACACAACAGAAAAAAATGACACCTTGAAATTTGCAGGCAAATGGATGGGGCTAGAAAACATCATACTGAGTGAGATAACCCAGACTCAGAAGGACAAAAAGGTGTACTCACTCATAAGTGACTTTTAGACATGAAGCAACGAAAACCAGCCTATCAATCACAATCCCAGAGAACCTAGACAACAATGAAGACCCTAAGAGAGACATATGTAGATCTAATCTACATGGGAAGTAAAAAAAGACAATATCTCCTGAGTAAATTGGGGACCATGGGAGAGGGTTGAAGGGGAGGGGAGAGGATGGGAGGGGAGTAAAGAAAAATGTATAACTTATTAAAATCAATAAAAAATTAATCATAATAAAAAAGTAGACATGCATGCTGAAGTGGTAGAATTAAGTTTGCCTGGCCTTTTACTAGGGCAATTGGTTTCCTTGAGAGAGCTACTTTGACTCTTGGGAGGATTTTGGTTAAGTGGGGATGATAACAGTTGCCTTTATTAAGGCTTTACTACCCACTGTTTTCATATATCTATCAAATCAAAGGAGGTGAAAGGAGGAGAGAGATGGCTCTTTAGTTGCTGCTACATCATTCTCCTGTCCACCCTAACACCTGTATGATGCAAGACGATAGAGTTTCCGACTCTTGCTCCTGAGGCCATTTGGGCCGGAGCGGTTGCACAGTTCTGTGGCCATGGTCCAGGTAAGAAACTCCTCCACGAAGAGTCCTCTCTTTGAATGTGAAACCTGATGTCTACCATCACACCTGGCCTACCAAGGGACCTGCTTGCATTTCGTGGATAGTGCATAGTAATGAGATCCTGCTTATCTAACAGCCAACAGAAGAAGTCACAAACATCTCCCAGGATTCCTCCAAGCCCCTGGTGTTACATTATCTGAGACAGCAGCTTACCAAACAGTAATAATTAGGGTGAATATTCTAACAAAACCAACTGATTTGACTGATTTTCAGAATTTTTATGTTTTTTGATTTAGTTTATACTATTATGGTATGGATAAGGGCTTAAAAGGTTGCAGCACTGTAGGAATGGGGTGAAACTTTTGAGGGGGCTGGATCTAGTGGGATTTTTCAGGGCAGTGGCAGCATGATCTTAAGGGGTATTATAGGCTTAAAAACTTGACTCTTGCTTCCAAGTCAGGAGGTGCATGGTTTGCTCTGTGTGGTGTTCAGCCTTGCTATGCTATCTCAGTACCAGTGGACATGTTGTGGATCAACTTACCACCAACCGGAAACTTCAAAATCATGAGCACAAATAAAACTTTCCTCTCATTAAGTTGGTTATCTCGGGTGTTTGTTATTGTGGCAGACTATGGAGTGGAAGATAACTTTTTAAGGTTTATTGAGTTAAGTAATCAATAACAGTTAATGTCATTTATTGTTTAATATATTTACATGACAAACAACATGCTTAATGTTTGACATATGTCATCTTATCTAGTATGCCTAATTTCTCTGTGACATTTCTCCTTTTGGGTTGGAAAACTAAAGGTCAAATCATATTAAAGAGGTAGGATTTGAATCTAAGTCATCCCCACTGTCACAGTGCTGGTCAGCAGTTCTTTGTTCTTTGACATCTAGAGGTTTGGAGTTTTATGCACCTTGAACTAATTGTTTCTTCTGTTGACCTGCTGCTTAGGACACTAACTGGTCCTATGGTGGACTGGAGGTTTTGTTTTGTTTTTTCCCTTCAAGACTCAGTGATCTATAGAAGCATAGACATTTACAATGTGTGAAACTAGCTAAGAACTCTAAGCCCAGACTCCCAAAACATTTATAACCTCTGTAGCATGTCCAGTGGATTCAGGACAGTTTTCCAGGCTTTGTCTGAAAGACTTTCTGTAGGAAGCAGAGAGTGTGTGTGAAGAAGAGCCAGCTTGTCTTCATGGACGCTGGGTCTACATCCTAAAAAGCCTAAAGCCCATGAAATCACTCCTCAAATAAGTTGTTCCTAAAACCCGGGGGTGACCTTACCTTTCCCTGATCCCTTAGCCACTGCTCTGTATGCAGATGCCCAGGAATCAAGTCCTTCTGGTCGACCCCTTAGGATGGTTAATAACACATGTCCTAGAGGACCCATTTCTCTTTATTTCTTCTTTATTTTCAGATGGTGCTATTTCTATTCTAGTACTCATGGGCTGTTTTCCTGCTTGAACAAACTCACCAGTGATCTTGTCCCTGACTCTTTATTCTTCTGTTATTTTCATACATCTGCTCATCCTATCATCTCTCCATTAACCTTTCCACCTGTACTGAGACAGCACAGCGAGGCTGGAGGCCACACAGGGCAAAGCACATAGCTCTTGACTTGGAAGTAAGAGGCAAATTTTCTTTCTCTAGCTTTTCAGGCTGGCTTAAGAAATCAGTGCCACTATTTCTTTTGAAACTGCATCCTTACTGCAAAATATCAAAAACTCACTCCCCTTCAAAGTTACTTCATCTTCGGCGCACGCCTTTAATCCCAGCACTTGGGAGGCAGAGGCAGGCGGATCTCTGTGAGTTCGAGACCAGCCTGGTCTACAGAGCTAGTTCCAGGACAGGCTCCAAAGCCACAGCGAAACCCTGTCTCGAAAAACCAAAAAAAAAAAAAAAAAAAAAAAAAAAAGCAAAGTTACTTCATCTTCTAAATGAGATCTGTTCACAAATACAAAGTGAAACTCTTTGAAAAAGCTTGGCTGAGTACACTTTAATTGATAGTAATAAGAATAAATTAAGGGGGAATTAATTCACAATCATGGTTTACAAGGAACAGGTAGTGGAAAGTTTGAGAGAGTATTTATATTTAAGTTTATGTGATACCTAACAGACACTACATCTTAATACTCTACTATTATAATATAAAAGTACATGATTATATATCTGTCTTTATGTTCTTAGAGACTGGTAATTGGCAGAGGTTTAAAAATAAAATTAGCTTCTTAGCAGCAAGGCATAATTAGTTGTGAAATTCTTCTATCAAATCATTAAGACATGAACACATGTAATGGCTTGTAAAGGCAATTTATTCTTGTTTGTTTAGATGCTGGTCAGTCGCTCTTCTTTTCTCATCTGGTTCCCAGTTTAGCTTCAAACAGCAAGTGTTCGTTGAACTGCAAGGACGCTGGGTCTTCCTCAGCAGCAGGATACAAACACTGGAAGGCTGTATTTCCTATCTGCTCCTTCCGTACGCCTAGGGAGCCCCTCTCTCTCTCTCTCTCTCTCTCTCTCTCTCTCTCTCTCTCTCTCTCTCTCTGTGTGTGTGTGTGTGTGTGTGTGTGTGTGTCTTCTTTATTCTCATATGGTGCTATTTTTTTCTAGAGCTAATGGGTTGTTTTCCTGCTTGTACAAACTCACCAGTGATCTTGTCACTGACTCTTTGTATTCTCCTTTTATTTTCACATATCTGCCCATTTTATCATCTCTCCTTTAACTTCTTTTCCTCCATGGAACACAACATTTCAAGACAGTGCTCTGTTCTCCCAGACAACTTTAAATGAAAGCAGAGTAAAGAAAGGGAAAGCTAGGATCATTCCAGTAACTATGATTAGTTAAAAAAAAATTAATAGTAAGCACAAGCACAAGTTTGTTAAAAAGCTGTTGTTTCCTGAGACGATATGCTTTACTGATTAAAACCACTCTAAATGCCCCACTAAGCAATAGCTATTCTCGCTATAGACTGGAAACATTACAGCAATGAATTAGGTGTATTTATAAGCATAGGTTTCTTTCTTATTAGAGAAGCCATGTCTGAAGCACCTGGAGTGTTTCCCCTCGTGATTGCCATGGTCAAGTGTCTGCCAGGAGAATACCATGCTCTAAGGTCAGACAGTTTTAGCGGAAGAAGTTGTGTTGCTGGCTCCCTGGGAAAGGAGAGACATAGGACTTCTCCAGATATGGAATCAACGGTGACTGTGTTCTACAAGCTGTTGGCCCGTAGCCAGGCCTCTCTGAAGTAAACAGTTCACTAGATTGTAAGCCCCAATCGTCTCACTAAAATCTTACAGAACATCTGAACCCATTTTAGGGAGGAAAACATAAAGGTTTTGGTTCTTTCCCATTTTGTTTTGTTTTTAAAACAGGGTATAATTATATAGGTCAAGCGGGCCTCAAACTCAGAATCCTCCTTACTTGGCTTCCCCAGTGCTGGGGTTGTGTTTGGCAAGCGGTGATTTTACCATCTGGGTCTTGCCAGGAGCTCGTCACTGTTGCTGCCTTCAGTTTGCTGTCTAAAGCGGGGTATTCTAGACTTCTTCCCTTCACCCTGAATCGAGCTGCATCTTTCCTTGTCACTGTAGCTTCTTTGTCCCTCTGCTTGCTTCAGCATGTCCATGGGGAGATGATGCTGGGATGCTGGACTCAACAGGAAGCCACGAGATGAGACGTCCTTCAGAACTTCTGTGGGCTCCCTGACTGCAAGTGCCCGGGGCATCTCTGCTACACAACACCTGTGTCACAGCCCCTGAGGCAGCATCTACTCCATTTTGCAGTGTTTTCTAAGAAGCCTCCTATGTGTTTTAGTTTGGTTTTTCTATTAGTATTATTAAAACACCATGACCTAAAGCAACTCAGTAAGGAAAGGGCTTATTTCATCTTGCAACTTTCAGGTCACCTTCCATCATGGAGAAAAGACAGGGTAGGAGCCCAAGGCAAGAACCTGTTGGCAGGCACTGAAGCCGAGGTCATGGGGGACATGCTGCTTCCTACCTGATCCTTGTGGCCTGCTCAGCCCCCTTTTTATATACCACCCTGGTCCACCTGCCCAGGGTAGGTACCACCCACAGTTAGTCAGGCCCTCCCACATCAATCATTAATCAAGAAAAAGCCCCTAGACTTCTACACAGGTCGATCTGATAGAGGGATTTCCTCAGTTGAGGCTCCCTTTTCCAAAATAACCTTATCTTGTGTCGAGGTGACAAAAAAATTACCAGCACATAAAAGTTTTCCAAATGCAAATAGAAAGTTACAGCAGATAATCTCCAGGTTGGCATGATTCACGTGGGAGGGGAGAACCAGACAAAGGAGCTGACAAGAAGTGTATTCTAATGTTGCCTGACTTGGGACTTGCTGATTCTGGTACCTTCATTCCCAAACACCCTCCGTGAGTGCAACCCTTCCTTTATTTGGTTACTTGGTTTACTTCATTCCTTTCTAAAATGCCCCAAATAACACTCCTAAGTGAATGGATAATTTTCATAATATTTGGATAAAATAGTTTTGCTATTGCTTTGTTTTCTATATAACAGAGGGTTTCTCTTTTTTCTTTAACCATTTTGTTGTTCTTGTTTTCTATTTTTTTATTATTTATTTTTTATTAAAAATTTCTGCCTGCTCCCCACCTCCCATTTCCCTCCCCCTCACTCCCCTCCCCCTCCCTCCCCAGTGTGTCCCATTGTGGAATGGTGAGGTGTTCCTGGGCATCCTGAAGGAATTCTGCTTGCAGTCTTGGGGGCAGGAACTAAAATGCGTACTGATCTAAAGGGATGGGGTCAAAGGATGAAGATGGTAGGGTCAACCATGAGCCAGTATTTGAGGACAGAAGACCACAGCTGGACTTGCTAGACTCTGACGTGGTAAGTGTGTCTCATCCGCATCTCTCCCACAAGGATTTGCAGCAGGATAGGTCTTTCCTATCAGAACGAGTGTCTGGAAAATACAGAGGGACTTGTGTCTACATGTGGGTCAACAGAGTGGGAAGGCTAGGAGGCTTACCTTTTGTCCTGCATCTCACACAAAACCTCTCAGTGCTCACCCCCAAGTGTCCCCCGCCCCAGCCCTTCAACGGAGTGACATGGACCCCAGCTCCAATATGCACAGTCCTCACAGTCCTCAGCTATGCTCATCCAATAGCAACTCTGGATGGCGAGTGAGGTGGATGCTGCCAAGTCCATACTGCAAGCTCAGAGTAGCCAAGGCCCATGCTTGTCAGCAGAGGCTAGTGCAGTGATTCTCAACCTGTGGGTCGCGACCTCTTTGGAGGGTCAAAAGATCCTTTCATAATGGTCACATAGATATCCTGCATATCAGGTATTTATGCTATAATTCATAACAGTAGCAAAACTATAGTTATGAAGTATCAATGAAATATTTTGTCGCTGGGGGTCACCACTTGAGGAAGGAACTGTATTAAAGGGCCGCAGAGTTGGGAAGGTTGAGACCACTGGTCTAGTGTTGTTGTGCCCACCCTCCTCCCCCTCCTCTTAACCTAGGGCTATGCCGGTGGCTATCAGAACTTAGGAAGCCTGTGCTTTGGACTTCTTGTCAGCCTGCCTTCTAGAAAAGAGCTCACCTGCTTTTCTACTGCACACGCAAACACTTCTTCAATCATCACAGTGCTTGGCTACTCCTTAGGACTACACTAGCAGAACTGGAATCGTGGAACTCAGATTATCCCACACAACGGTTTCCATTCAGCCCCAAATCGACCCTGACCCTTTGTTCTCTCATTTCTGCTTTGTCATTTTCTATCACTTTTATTTTGTTAATACACCTTTTATAAATCATTGTGCTATTATTATTTGCTCTTTAAATCCTGCTCTTCAGATTGGTTTATGGATTAGCGCTTTCCTTCTGTCATTTGCCTCCATGGATTTACTGGATTTTCTCTCTCTCATAAGGATTCACCCACCATCATGCTGTGCTGTTTCTACCTCGGACTTGAAAAGCATTAATGACAAAACTGCTCAGGTTTTTCATTTTTTGGCTCTTTTGGCTAATCTCGATGAATAATTTTTCATTATCTTTTCAAGCTGTCTTTCTAAGGAGAAACCACCTCACCATGTTATGTAGTGACAAAGACCCATTGTGAAAAATGTCCACGCAGTGATTTTTCTTATCATGGGCTCATCAGTGCACACACCAACACACACCTAGATAGCATAGTCTAGACACACTTAGATGATGTGGTACAGCCTCCATCATGTGTGGGATAACAAAAGTCTCAGTGGTACAGGATGGTGTTTTTTTTTTTTTATTTGCTCTTCAAGGATTCCAAAGAAGATCAGAAAATAGCTCTGTAGTGATTTTATCTCCACAGTTGAATAAAATGGATGGAAGTTAAAATTTATGTCAGCAGCATTTTCTTGCTTGTAGAAGAGAAATATATAAGAACGCACACCTTCTAGGCGAACTTTGAGTCGTTGGATGAGTCTGTATTATAATGACTTCAAGTCAGACATAAGTATTTTTGTCATGTTTCCAAATTTCATCTAGCAAGCCCTGTTCCAGGAATCTGTCCTAAGGAAACGATCAGGGTTAGGCTTCCCACCTAGAAGGTATTTCTGTGTATGATTTATGAAGATAATAAATGGAGATTAAAGGATAACCATTTCATTAAATGCTATATATAGCTATAAAATCATTTTCTAAAGACTAGGCTTAGTGAACGTGGCCATGGAAAGATTGCAGGATGCAGATGGGCATGCATGCACGCATGCACACACTTGATAAAAACATTTTCAATAACTATGCTTAATTTGGTATGAAACAAATGGCTTCCTCTTACAGATGGTGTTTATTTTGCTCAAAATAAGACTCGTAGTGTCATTTTCTTCTTTTCTTTCATATTTAGTATCATAATATAAATGGCCCATATTTTAGAGCATTTATCAAAAAGGTGGAACAGAATATAGAGAGGAAATACTGTGTGTGCCATCCTGAGGTAAATCCCTGGCACAAGCAGAGGATAGATCAAATGTGTGGAGCAAGGAGGGTCAATTCAGATCAGCAATTCACCCTTGCTGAGGGGTGCTGACTGCCTAGGACCCCACCCATCAGCAGCACTCTCTGAGGAGCAGCACCATCCGAGCAGAGGTGGGAGGGCATTTAGCCAAAGCAAGGAGTTTTAAAAACACCTTGATCCCATGGACGCTTTCATTACCAGGCGCTTGAGAGAAGGGTGTGGAAGGCTAAAGCCGGGATTTAAAAGACTTTTTGCACTCTGCTCCTACCAAGGAGAATGTTAAGTAGAGAAGCCAATGAAACAGAAACAGATGGCTCAGATTTTCTTTGAAACATAGACAGATTGAAGAAAAAGAAGTTTGGCAAAAAAAAAAATACATCTGGGGTTTAGCCAAACTGAAAACATTTGAGAAACAGTATGAAACCCTGGAAGAACATTAAGGCACCCACAACACTCACATTAAGTGTAACGTGATAGAGGCAAAAATGAAATGGAGTTTTAAAGACAGAGCCCAGTTTCTGGTGAGCTCTAGCAGCCGACTCTGGGAGTCGGGACACTGATGGCAAGTCAGGCCACTTCAGCTATGAGCGGGACCGGAAGCCACGTGCCTCTAACACCTGTGAGATGGAAAGCCTCTAAGACCTATGTACCCATGCAGCTGAAATACCCAACCCTAACAGCCCATGTTGTTGAACCTGCCCATACGTGCAACCAGGCAAGACTGATGCTGCCCCTGTGGCTGAAACGACAAGCAGAAGTGTAATCTGTAAACCCCAAATAGGCTGGAGAACTGTACCTGCCCATGAGACTTAAATGACCTGTGTGACTCCAGCTATTTGGGATACTGTCATGAAGTGAGGTTGGAGTGTCCTATGTGGTTGTCACCTTCTGTGGGACTCAAACAGCCTAGGGACTTGATGGACCAGCGTGACTGAAATGACCTGAAGTTTTCTGGTTTCCTTTTAATTCCTAGACATTAGAGGAGATGACCGAACACTGTTTAGCAGAAGTAGCCACCCTCCCACCACCTTGTTGAAGTATTTAAACTACCTGCTACAAAGAGTTAGGAGCGTTCCCAGAAGGTATATTTGCCTGAGTACTTCGGCATCCTTGAGCTCAGGGGAGAGCTCGGTTTTCAATGAGCCTTGTCTTAGAAGCAATAAGCACAGAAGGACTTTGTCTGGCTATGCCAATGTCGGGTGAAGGGAATGCAGTGTATGAGCTGAGGGACATGGCAGTGTACATACCTTAAATTTCTGAAAAAAAAAATCCAAGTTGGCAGTGTGCAAATGGGTTCCAAAACGAGAGGGAAAGAGACAGGTGGACTTCTAAGTGCGTTGTTTTGGACAGAAAGATGATGTAATGTCCTCATGAAAAAGGAAAATATAAAACACAATAAAATAAAATAATAATAAAAATAAATTAATTAAATTGGAGCTATTACCTTCAAACTTATCAGGTTTTAGAGTAAGAGCTAAGAAATAAAACATTAAAAATAAGAGCAGCAAATCTGCTCTTCAGCATCTATCAACCAACAGAAAGAAGGCAGCAGCACGTGGGGACAGTCAGTGCAGGGAGACACGAAGCAGGAAGGCTCTGCAAGTGAGACAGTTGGTGGATGAAAGATTCTCAGGGTGGCAGTGGGGTACCAGAGAGGTGGGACACCTTGGAGTGGCAGTGGGATACCAGGAGGTGGAGAGTTTTGGGGTGCCACTGGGCTACCAAATGTCTTGAGACAGGGGTGAGGAGGT